TTTTCGCCAACACCTAGTATATGAAATATACATGTAAACATTGTGTCGATAAGTAGTCATTCTCATTTACAAAGATTCAGAAAACCCCATAAGAAATAAAATGTTACAACAAAGTAAATGTATCCATCTAGTTTTATTCCTTCTCTCTGAATATTTCCGGAAAAGTCTCTCTTGAGAATGATGTTTCACCATGAAGGAGTTGAAACATTTAACGCATCAAAATGAGTTATATGTAAAAGTACTTGGTATAGTACCTGGTACATGCGTAAGTATTTACTACGTTTTCAAAGAAATTTTAGGGGCACCTGGGTGCTCAGACGGTTAAACATCTGACTCTTGATTTTGTCTCAAGTCATGATCTGAGGGTCATGAAATCCAGCCCCAGGGCGGGCTCCCACTAAGCAGGGAGTCTGCTTAAAATTCTCTCTGTTCCTCCCTCCACTCGTGCTTGCTCTCTCTCTCCTCTCTCAAATAAATAAATAAATCTTTAAAAAAAAACTTTAATACCCATTAGTCTCTTTCCCAGACCTTATTGGGGATTACTGATCAACTTTCTTTTTCTTTTTTCTTTTTTCCATTGGCATTGTTTTTAATATTTAAATACAAAAAAGTGAGTGCTTACTTTTTTTCTTTTTTAGACAGACACACAGGTCTCTCATAGCCAAAATGCGCAGAGGAAATGAGCTCCTGCTCTGTCCTCCGCAGTCCCCATCCTATGGATGAAACTGCTGCCCGGCCCTCCCTCCTTTCCAACATAGCGATTCACAGCGTCTGCTTAAGACTACGGCTGTAACGCATTACGGATTTCATAGTGTGTGCAACATCTCCATGCTTAAAAACAAAAATGGTCAGCGGTGTATCCTTCCCAGTGGCATCAGTTCCTGTGCCACAGTGGGATTGTGAGATCTGCCGGTCATGAGCGATTTAGGGAAAGGAGTGGGATGGCCGGGGCTGGCCTAACCATCCGCATTGCTGCACTCTGGTATCAGAGCGAGGACAGAAGAAATGAGACAGCGCGGAGGGCACAGTTGCAAGCTGGAAGTGTCCGTGAGTCTTTGGGGAGAATCCTCCGCCAAAAAAAAAAAAAGAATCCCAATAATCAGCAGTTCAAACACTACTGAATTTTCCAAACTTGTCCCACCAAGACCAGTCATAGAGCAGTGGCGATCTAGATCTTTCCAGGAAGCGAAGGTAGCGCGCTTCTTGAGCATTCCTCCTGAGCGCCCTGGGTTAGGCCCTAGAAGTTTCTGCTGCTGCGGCTCCAGGGGCAGCTTCCCAGTCTCCAAGAGAACAGGAAGAACCAGGATCATGAAATGAAGGCAGTGGTCCCAATCCATACAAGGCTGCCCTGGAAAGCCTGTACATTTTCGGAGCCACAAAGAGGGAGAGATCAAAAGTGGCTCCAGCCGCCGACCGGACCCTCTGTGGAAACATCTCCGGCGGCGCCCACAGTCTCTCCGGCAGGGCCTCCTCTAGCTCCTCGTCTCGTCTTCCTCCTCCAGCTCCTCCGAATCGCCTTTCGGAAGCAATTGGTCCGGGGACAGGGGCGCCCCAGGGCCGCCCCGGAGGCGGTAGACATTGCTGATTAACTTTCTATCAATGAGCCAGTCAATAAGAGGGAAATAAAGTGCCCATTTTTAAGAACAAAGATAACACTCTCAGGGCAAATTAGTTGCAGTGACCCTTGCTAACACTGTTCTTTATCATACAGACAGAAGTAAGGTGTACATAGGCTCATACACTTCGGGATTTATCCTCTAGTTCATAAGTCAAGTTGCTTTATCCATTGTTTTCTTAAAGTTCACTGCCCATTATACTATCATTTCCATCAGAAAGTGTGAAATGCAAGGGGGAAATGAAAGCTGGTAAACACGGTTTATGTCAGTTTGGTTCTTAAAATGTAAGTGAGGAAGTGGAACAGCTAGATAAAATTAGGTTTCAGGTGTTTTCATGTCTGCTATTCCTGTCTCGCATTGCCACGAATGATCAGTAAGACACTTGTATAACTCACTACAGTTTCTGGTTTCAAGAATTTCTGAGATATTTAGATGAGTACATTTTATCTGAAAATCAATAATAATTGCTTCTCTTAGAAAGTGCTTCTGCAGGCAGGTAAGGAGAAATATTAGCCGATCATTAGAACTCTGACAGTGATTTCTCTTTGCAACAAAAATGGAAGGAACATCCTCCCCAGACAGGCCTGGAAGCAACTTTTAGGTTCCATCACACCTTTATACATTGCTACTTTAGTAATTACAGTACTATCTTTAATTATTTGCCAGTCAGGCATCCCCCTGACTGAAAACTCCTTGAAGGAAGAATTGCCTTTCGTTTTTGTAGCCCCAGGTTCCCGGTCCAGGTAGATCCTATTCATTCCAATTTCAGTACACGTCCCAAAGTGAGCACAGGGAGGCGCTATTCATAAGTATAAATAAGTAAATAAAAGATCACTGAGATTTATTTGAGTTAACCAGCTCTCTCTTAAACACTGCAAGTCTAAGAAAAGTTTGGTGAAGTCTCTTGTTTGGGGGCAACCCAGGCTCCCTTAATTGCAAGCAGCTCTGAATCAAAATATATCCGTTCCCCTTTCTATCTCCATTATCTATGTGCAACAGAAGTCTATCACATCATTATATTAACTATTGGATCTCGGGATAAGCTGCCTTTCAAATAAACTGAAAGTATTAAAATAGTTGTTCTTGCCAGTGCAAATGCTCAGTGCAAACTCATTAAAAGTCCAAAACACCATTGAAGAAGTTCCTCTTCTTCAGTGAAGTTAGACTTGATAGCTCATACTGTGTAATTATGATAATTGAATATTCTGAGTAATGATTATTCAGAGACTTAGATACATTCTTGATGAAAAAGGATCAAACACAGTTCTCTATTTTTAACTTAGGCCTTCAGAGGGTTTATTATTTTGAAATCAAATCTATTAAACTTCGTGAATACATTATTCCTCATTAAGATTCCCTCTGAATTCATGTGATGTCTTAACGACATGGTATCAGTGAATAATTTATAAGTAAAAATCATTTTATAATATTTATCTTAGAAATAAAAGTGAATGGAATATAAGAAAAAAATGAAAAAAAAAACCCCACAAGTAACTGATAAGGAGAGTAAGACTGTACAGGAGTCTCAAGGTTAATTTTAGCACTTCTTGAACACTCTTAGCTTATCATCTAAATAATTTACCAGGTATTTTATTTTATGAAATACTCTAGTTGACAAGTCAACACATTTCATGAGGCAACTATTATTGTGATTAAAAAAATTACTGAAAAAAGTGAAACAATTATGTGCCCTTAGTTGAATCTATATTAGACTATATAAAGTGAGGCTATATGAACTTGTTCCTGGTGATCCATAAGCCATTATAAAATATAAAGCATTATTATTGCACTATTGCATGTGTAAAATATTTTGCCCAATAATCAGCCTTTCATTAATGGTGGCTCTGTGCAAAATTCCTTCTACCGCAAAATGACATCAGGATTAAGATGATGGTTTTCAAACATCTTTGTTTGTTGGCCCCAAGGAGGGTCTCTTTGAAACAAAATTCCCAAATAAATCCATCCCCCCCCCCAAAGAGTCCAAGGAAATATCTATGCTGTTCTTGGACCAGGAAAAGACAAATGGCTATTTTCAGTTTGGGGAGGCAATATAGGGAGTATTGAGGGCTGATGTAATCAGTTATGAAAGTAAGAAAATGGAAATCATTGATGGTTGATTACTGTCAAGGCATCTGCTCAAAAAAGAAAAACCTTTAACATGGTCTGGCAATCACTAGTTCTCATAAAACACTAACCAATAGTTAGCAAACAGTTTATGAAATCTTTTTTAAGCTGATTACCTGGTTTTCATTAGATGAACCTAATTTTTTGGAGGTGCAAGGTCCACGTTATGGCCTACCTTAGATAACTATTAAATGAGGTTACTCTCCACCACAAAAAGCTTAAAAATCAAAATATGTTATCTCCATTTAAATTCTTACTATTCTCTTTATATTTTTCACTATGTGGAATCAAGAATTAAAAAATATATGTTATGGTTTTTAGCAAAATGCTAGAAAACCAAGAAAAATTTGAAAAATTCAGTCATTCACAAAACTGCACATAGTGTTTATTTAGCAAAATATTTTTTATCTGGCCACTTAGCGTCATGTATATGCAACAATAATCATCGCAGCAAGTCATCAAATATAAACTTTTTGCTGATTTTAAGCAAATTCATATGACTTTAATGGTAGAATACAGCATTTTCTTTTTACCCTTTCTTCTTATTAAATGCTGGGGAGCACATTTATCATCTGAACTGTCACATTAATATATTTTCAAATCTTTTACTGACATGTAAAAACAGTTTCAATTTACATTTATTTATTTTCTTATCCTAGGTTTCAACAATCATATCACAAGTCTCTGAATTATCCACAGAGTTCATTTTGTTCCATTTTACTCTAGTTACAAATCTACATACGCACACACACACACCTGCCGGAATTTGCACCCATCTTATTTTAATTATATTTTGAATACTCTCATTTTTCAAAAGGCAACAGTGAGTTATCTGTGTGAAATGGCTAGGATGGAGGGAAATCAAGCATTTTTAACATAATAAATAGTACTTGCTTTATAAAATGCTTCCAGAATCTAAAAGCATACTTAAAACTGTTTTTGAAGGAAACTACTTCAGAGAGCAAAATCATGTGATAAGATTAATGTAAACTCGATGTTTAAAATCTAGACTACAGATTTTAAATATGTCTCTTCATTTTTCATCTCATGATTGTGTGCCACAATAATGAGGTACTGGGAATAAGTTTACTGGGCTCTATAAAAGTCAATTCAAATTACAATCTCATTTTCTTAACTTTTTAGACATAGACCTTTCAGCCCATGCAGGGTGTATCCAAAAAGACCTTTCCTGTAACCATTAGCTATCATGATTTTTAAAAATTAGAAAAAAGAAAAGATAAATGATAATGATATACTCACCTTTTGGTGTCTTAAAATATTCAGGCAAAAGTAAAATGAATGCAATCACTATTGCCAAAAGTAATTTAAAAAGGGCTGTTTTTGTCATGTCTCTTCACATGACACAGTATGTTCCCGACCAGGACATCGGTGGCATGTTTCTTCCTGCTTCGATCTTCATCTCTGCAGTACTTTAAGTTTATGCAGTTTACTTCGTACTCACTTCCTTTTGGGTAAGACTTAAAAAAAAAAAAAAAAAAGAGGCCTTGAACAGAGACGTCTTCATTTTGAGTCACTTTCCATTATGAAAACTACCATCTAAGAAGTAAGACACTTCCAAACTATCTTCTCAACAAGAAAGTTTAAAAAAAAAATGATCTCAAGAAGCAAAGGGGTCTTGTCCTCATCTCAATTTGAAGCTATTTTCCCACATTTACCAATCTGTAGGAGTAAATATAAACCCACAATATATACACCAAAAACAACAAGATGAAGGTCAGTGGTGTCCAGTTACTCATTTACTTGTTAAATGATTGTTGGCCCCTTTTAAATGCCAGGCTGAACTGGATTCTGGTGTTCAGAAAAGAGTGCATCTGTAAGACAGTAAACAGTACAAATGTAAGGATAAACCAAAATTCCAATTCTACTTTACTACCTTATATAAAGCAGTGGAATGGGACTCATTATCCTTATGCCTATAAACAGTGTGATAATTGTTACCCAATCCACACTGTCTGTTCCCATTTCAAAAAAAAAAAAGATCTTTCATTATGATAATTCCAGTGAAGTAAAGGACTTTGTCTGAGAATATAAATGAAGAGTAGGGGAAGTTCATGGTGAAGAAAGAATATGTGCAAATACTTTTATTCCATTGTTCTTGTTTTCTGGTTTAAAAAAAAAATGGTAGGGAATGTCTCCCATCATTTTCTGCCTGCTCATTCCCTATGGTACCTCCATCACCGCGTCTGTTTCCGTTCATCCCACCCAACCCTGGGCTGTATGCAACAGGGAGTGAGTGGGGAGTAGGAGGCAGGGAACGGAGGTCATGCTGTGGATATGTTGTGAGTACAAATTAACTGTCTCATCTTCTGATTAGGGGTGGGGATTTGATGGACGATGGGAATCGTGGGTTAAGAGACCTTAGAAACTGAATCTAAGAAGAGTCATGATGGGACTAGAACTTCGAACATTAGACTTATTTTATGAACAGCATCAAAGATCATTCTAAGGAAGAGAGGAACTGATGAGTCATTGCCTGCACAGCGTATTTGACTGAGACATGTTAAGTTATATGTCCAGCAGCGTCTTCAGGAAAGATGCTGGTGGAAAGGGGTAAGAGACCCTGTCCTTTAATTATTTCCCATCTTACAGGTGTCACTAAGTGACAGCAGACTTTCTACTCCCACCCAGTGTGACCCTGTTTTGATTCCCTAATTTTTATTTATGAATACAAGTATTCCAACCATAATTTTACTAATGTAGAATAAATTGATCAAGAAAAAATTAACTTGATGTTACACCATTCAGTTAGTTTAATTCCTTGATCAGTTTTCTTTAAAAGGGCAGCTAAACCACTTCTTTATTTTTCCATTTTAATTTGACTTTACTGAAATCAGTTTTGTTAGTATCTATGCTTTTTTTTTTTTTCTTGAACAGTTCTTTGGTTCATGGATTAACTCTCTCATCCATATCAAATTTTATTGATTTGTGAGTTTTCTTTGTGGTAGTATTCTTGCAGACCTCCTTCTTCCTCCCCTCCCCCTCTCCCTAATATGGCCTCAGACTGGTTGTTTTATTCTTGAGCACCTGGAAGACCAACTTCCCTAGTAAACTCCATGGGCTGTTTGTCCATAATGTGCTGAGCCATGTTCTCTGCAGCTGGCTTCTCTGGAGCTGTACAAATGATGGACGTCAAGAGACCAACCAGGGTTCTTAAATCCCAGGCCACTGCCTCACTGCTCTGAGGATATGGGGGAGTCAGTATCTCACACCTGGTCTATAATCCACTTGCTGGACACTAGTGTGTCATCTCTCATTTAGCAAATTATGAGAAATATTATATGCCCTGAGATATTTCAGGAATACTCCCCCCTTACATCAGTGTTCTCCTTCCTTCCATTCTCCTTTTAATTGTACCATCACCTCTCAATCAACCAAACATGAAAACTCTGCAGAATAACTTATATCTAAAGACTTCATTAGATTTTTAATGGTCCTTAGGTAATTCATTTAATGGTACTCCAATTATGTCATTTAAAAATATTTGTTTATGTAGCACTACAATGTGAATATTCATATATATAAATCTTTGTGTGAGTCTGATTATTGAGTGGAATTACTAAGACAAACAGTGTAAAGATTTTTGAAGTTCTTAATTCATATAGACAACTATCTCCCAAAAAAGTGAGTCAATGTATACTCAACCAAGAGTGTATTCTCGAGAGTGCCCATGTCACCAAACTTTAACATTGGCCATTTTATTTTCTTAACTTTTGTCAATTTGGAAAGGAAGGAAAAACACTTGTTTTAATATTCATTTCTTTGATTGCTAGTAAGTCTAAGCATTTTTCATATTTGCTGGCAATTTGAATTTCTTATGAATTGCCTGTTCATGTCTCTTACTGGAGCATTTGTATCCTTGTTGTTGCTTTATACGCATTTTTCTCTACTGGGAATATGTATCCCTTGCCATATATGTTGCAAACATTTTCCTCAAGTTGTCGTGTTCCATTTCTTTTTGTATAGGATGGGTTTTTTCTCCCCTCTTTGAGATAGAATATAAAATATGGTAGATTATGGACTTAAAAGTTTTATGCTAAGAAACGCAATTCTTCCTCATTGTATTTATAATATTAAACCAAATAATTTATAGTTTATCAAGTAGTTTACTCTTAAATACAAAATTTACTTGCAGACTGATTTTGGCTGCCTGGAATGCATAATAACAAACTAAGAAGCCTGGTCATTTTTTTTAACAAAGGAAACATCCGACCCTCTTAATAATAATGGTAATGGACCACAGTTCCATAGTTTCATTTTATAATTTCCAAAGCACCTTCACAGATATTAGATTATAAAGGCAGAATCTAAGAACATGAGTACAAATCTGCTATTATCCATCCATTGTGGGCTTCTCTTTCCTACCTCAATGAAGGAGTAAGAAATTAATACATCTAAAACACAAGAGGGTGTCGCTACATTAGTGTTTAACTTTCCTAAGTCTTATACTTCATATCATAGACTCAGGTTCTCAAAGTACTTTAAAGTATTCATGCTTCTAATCAAGACTAAAGCCCTGATTAATAATTGTACATTGTGTGCTAGATACAATTTTTTAAAGATTTATTTATTTATTTGAGAGAGAGAGAGGGCGCCTGGGTGGCTCAGTTGTCAAGTGTCTGCCTTCGGCTCAGGTCATGATCCCAGGGTTCTGGGATCGAGCCCCGCATCGGGCTCCCTGCTCCGTGGGAAGCCTGCTTCTCCCTCTCCCACTCCCCCTGCTTGTGTTCCCTCTCTCACTGTGTCTCTCTCTGTCAAATAAATAAAATCTAAAAAAAAAAAAAAAAAGGGAGAGAGAGACTAGGGGAGGGAGAAACTCAATCTCACGATCCTTAGATCACAACCTGAGCTGAAACCAAGACTCAGACACTTAACCATCTGTGCCACCGAGGCACCCCTAAGACACAAATTTTTAAAATGACAGAAATCTTTATTTCCAGGAGCTGCTTTACCCAAGGAAGCAAGAGCAACATACTTTTAAAAAATAATAAATAACAGCCTTAAAAAGGATGCTTTGGATTAAGTTCTATGTAGTCATCTATTATTATGTGAAATATACACTTGTATATGCTTTATGTGAGCAATACATTTTCTATTTCTTTTCTCATTGAAACTATCCTTAATCCCTTCACTATATTGTATATAGAGATCTTTTGGGGTCAACAAAAACAATAGCAATGATCAATGATGTTTATTGGACATTTATCATGGGCTCCTGCACAGTATTAAATGTTTTATATGGATTCTTTTATTCAATCCCCCAGCAAATCTCCGAGGGAGTTACGACTATGTTATTCTGATTTTACAAGCGAAGACTATTAGGTATTGAAAAGTCAGGAAAGTGCTCAAAATCACATTGTTAACACAAAGTAAAAAAGTTCTGGCTTCAAACCCAGAGAGTCTCACTGCAGACTTAATGCTTTCAACCACTGTGCTATCCCCCCACCCTCAGACTGTGTGAGAACATTTGTCAAGAAGGGTCACTTATAAAACAATAAGGATAATAACAAACACAAATATAGCCCCTACTCTGTCAGACACTGCTCTAACCCAGGATTTCTCACGGGGAGCACTACTGACGTTTTGGGCCGGATAATTCTGTTTGTAGGGGGCTGTCCTGTTCTTTGTAGGATGTTTCGCAGCAGATGCCAGTAGCGACTCCCTAGCCCAGTTTTGACAACAACAACAAAATATCTCCAGACATTGCCAGCTGTTTCTGCTGGGGGCAAAATAGCTTCCACTTGAGAACCATTGCGCCTCACACTTCACTTACATGAAGTTATTTCATCCTCCAGACAACCCTATGAAATCGTTACGGTCATGATTTCCATTGTACTCACTTCAGAGTGAGTAATCTATACCAGGTAATCTAATCATCCAGAAAGTGAATTTAAAAGACAATTCATAATCTGGGTCCGCCAAATGACTTCTAATTGTGTTGCTTGCAGACAAACTACTTTGGCAACACAGCAATGCCTGGATTAACACATTTTGTGGGAGGAGATAATCTCTTATTAACGAAGTTGGCCTGAGTCTGGAGAGGGTTTTGGGAAGTTCCAACATCCTCATTCATTTTGCGGTTCATTCTACAAATATTTACTGAACGCCTACACAACATCAGGCAGGCTTCCCAGCCCTGGAGATGAAGTAGCAAATGAACCAAAGTCTTCACACCCACATTCCAGTGACAGACAGTAATCAAATAATGACAACAGTTTATCTTCAGACAATGTTAACTGTTCTGAAAAAAAATAAGGCAAGATATGATGTGCGAACAGAGAGTTGGGCAGGACACATGATGCTCTCGATAAGAATGTTAAAGAAGGTATTGTACGATCCATTTATATGACACTAGGGAAAAGGCAAAACTACAGGGACAGAAAATACATCAGTGGTTGCCACAAGAGGCTGGAGGTAGAGGGAGGGTTGACTACA